TATTGCATGCAGCATTTACAGCTTATCATCAGTACTTACAGGACTGTGGCTGTCCAGAACCAGAGGTTTGACCAACTCTTTGCATTCAGCGGACTCAGACGCAGCACTCAGGGAGATGAGAGCCAGAAACAGCAGGACCAGAGCAGCCATGGATGTAGACAGCAGGCAGCCAGAGAGCAGCAATGTCAGGGATTCTGCCAAGTAGAGACTCTACAGAGGAACTGGGGGAAGAGTTGTGTTACGGTAGGCTGGCCAACAGTCTCTCACTCACTCTCACACACCCCTTTAACTTGGCCTTTTGTTCAAGTTACTCCTTTACATAACCATTTGGCAGACACTCATGTGACACACACACACACACAGGACTCCAATACTACATGCTCACAGGGAAATCAGACCAGTGGAGTTCACAAAATGTTTGTAACAAACGTAACCATTTGTTACATTTGTTCACATTAATGTGGGTGACAGCTGCTGTCCTTCATTTTCTGTTCTGTAGCAACATTCACTGTTCTGGTCACTGCTCCAAGAGTTAGCCTCACATACTCAGTAGATCCTTTTACCTGTAGTGTCTTCAAAGTGAAACTGATGGAAAGTTGAGGTTTGCAGCTTGTTTTTTGAAGATCAGCCTTACCCAACTTTCCAGTTTTTTCAGCAGGGTTAATAAGACATAGACGGTGTGGACATTTTAATTTGGCCATTATAGATCCCTAACTTTATCAGTTATAATGATTCAAACATGACTCACTGAAAAGCCATAGATGTTGCCCCCTGCTGGTTCTTCCTTTCTCCTTTGCACTGCTGTGTCGGCCCACAGCAGGCAGTCAGCACAGGTGACCAGAAAGTGACCAACAAGTTTGTATTTTCTTTGTGTGGTGTGTTGAACTACAGATGAGCTACACATGTAGCACAAGCTTCAGTAACTGTTCTACAGTCAGGGTTTCAGCTCAGTGACTTACAGTACAGCTCATCACTTACACTTTATTTCAGAGGAGAACCCATCAAAAGTCACATTAGCTCCATTGCTGTCAAACAAAAAGTACTACATTAAATACCGACTACTATGTCAACAATATTTATCTTATATTTTGTCTCTTAAAGCCATAATCCCCTGCCCACTTGGTGTCTGTGAAACTTCAATCGAGGTGTCAGGGAGTGAGCATGTGATATTGGAGTTCAACTGTTGAGGTTAATCCCTGAACAGGACAGTGAACATTAGAGAGGGATTAAATACTGGGAACAAAAGAAGAAGCACTGCAGATACTGCAGTTCAAAGTTGTGACCTGCTCATGTCCTCCTGATGAAGGAATGCAGACAAGGAAAATAAGTGGTTGAATCTGCATATTAAAGAGAGCAGTCAGAGAGTTACAACAAGCTAACTGAGCCTGGAGTCAGGAAGTACAGAGAAATAGGTTGTATACAGTACTTTTGCAAAACACAGAGCTAAAACTTAAGTGCAGCATCTTTACGTGATGAAGGATAAAGATAATGTTGATGGTTGACATGAAACTTTGTTTGGTCGTCCACAAGTTTCACCAGTTCATCACATCTTTGGTCAGATACTGCTGTAGCCAGAAAGGAGAGAGTGAGTAGTAGTACTACTGCAGCAATATTGCTGAGAGCAGGGTACCAAGTGCTTGTTTTAGTCGTTTGTTAAACACATTTATTTATATTGCAGTGCTGTGGGTTGTCTCTCCACTTCGTTAGTTTAACTAACCACACCTGCCTCCAGTGTCTGCTCCTTCTAGCCTAGTATTCTAGCCCCTGACAGGGATCAGCAGTGTGTGCCTCTCTGCCATTCTGTCTGTTTCTCCGGGGTTTATTGGTGACATCACACTCACCTGTTCCCCATGATTACCTGTTCGTTAGTCTCACTCGTTTCACCTGGGATGTAGTCCACATGACTTTAACAGAGACACAGAGACCACACAACAAGTGTACTACTGCAGGGATACTACTGCCAGACAGAATGGAGTCTCTCTGACACTGGGCTGGTGCAACCATTTACGAATGGCTATTTACGTATGGTCGTTACTTAAGTAGGTAATTGTCTGTTACTACAATTGTTCAGTTTTGTAAGTGTTTCACAACAAGGGGCAGCAAGTTAAGAAATCACACACCACAGTATTTTCAGATATTTCAGGCCAATATCACCTCATAGAAAACAGGACAATTAGCTTAATTTTTTTTGTTTGACAGAAGACCATTTAAATTGTGTACTGCATAACCAGAATAGTTGTCTGTTTTTTTCCCTTTTATTCAATTACAATCTAAACTGAATAAAAATATATAAAATATACTTAGACATGTTTACTGCCTGAGTGTCACTAGTGGTGCCAACTTACAGTACCTCAAGGGTAATTTCCTTGGTATGATCACTGGGAATTATTGGGGTCATCCTTATACATACCTTCGGGGTATGGGAAGGGGCTGTGGTAAGGAATGGGTGGAATGGGGTGTCTTACTGGACTATGGCTTTTCCTGATTAGCTGGTTGTGTCACTTGGGGGTAACGACAGGAAGCAGGCAGGACCCAAGTGCAGTACAAAAAACGAACCTGCACGGTCGTTTTATTAACAAAGTCCAAATGAACAAAACAGGAAGAACTACCAGGCATGGAATTCTCTTTGTAACACGGAACACAAGGAAACACAGAACAGGAAACTGACAGAACGAACTGAACAATGATCCAAAACAATCACAATGATCCAACACAATGATCAAACACACTGATCTAACAACAATGGTCCAACAAAGGCAGAGTGAGGGAGAGGGGTATATATACACAGGGAGCACCAGGTGACACAAGTGAAGCTAATTACCAACAGGTGAGTGTGAACAGACAGATTACCCCACAAAGCAGACAACAGGAAAAGGAAACAGACACCCATGACAGGTTGTTTCTTATAAATTGATCTTATTGAAAGACATATCTTCAGTAGTGGACCTTGGGGTCATCGAGTGTTTCGGCCATTATCATTAGACACTCTCCCTCTAGGAAGGCCCCACTGGGGTTGATCATGCCCCAGGGTGTGTCTTGTTAATTCATTACTATTAGATTTGTCAATATTGCTTCTTAACTTAGTTTAATGGCCTTTTTTGCGCTAGAGGTACAGTTTATTATTTAGTTATGCTTATTGTGTTTAAGGTTGACTATTGTAGGTAAATTTACGTTGAAGTGGATGGGTCTTTGTTTGGCCCCCAACTCACCTCTTTCCTCCTGAGCCACAGCCAAAAGCTGCCCTTCTCTGCCTCTTCTGCCAGTTCCCTCATGGCTTTCCTGTGCCCTGCTCCTGTGCATTCCATGTCACGGAGCAGGCGTACGGTTGAGGACCCGACGAAGCCCCTGCATCCTACTTCAACGGGGCACATGATGGTTTTCCAGCCAGCCTCTCTGCATTCTGCTGCCAAGTCTGCGTACTTTGTGTGTTTCTGCTCGTTGGCAGCCTCCATGCCTTCCTCCAATGGGAAGGTAAGCTCCACCATCAGAATGGTCCTGTGTGGTTCTGACCACATGATCAGATCCGCAGCAAAGTTTTTGTAATCTCCTTGGGGAATTGGAGCTGCCTCCCCAGGTCAACCCTCATTGACCACGTGCTGCCTGGTGAGAGTACCGTTGGTGTTACTCTCTGGCGAGGAAGGTTGGCGTTCTCTCCAGCTTTTGCAATCTGTATAGGAGGACTTGCTGGGGTGGAAGGTCTGTTGTTGGCCTCCTGTCTGCATGACTCCGCCACCTCTGCCAGCTTCCTTAACACCAGGTCATGACGCCACCTGTAGCTGCCTTGGAACAATGCCGTCTTACAGCCTGACAGGATATGCTGGAGGCTTGCATTGCCAGTGCTGCACAAGGCACAGAACTCTTCCGCATCAAACCACAGGTGGAGATTTCTGGAACAAGGCAGTGTATCGTAGGACGACCTGATCAGGAAGCTGAGCCTGGCCTGGGGGCTTCCACATATCAATCCATGCCAGGGACCTGTCTGTAACACCTTCCCATGACATCCAGCCTTTCTGCTCTTCTTTAGAGGCCTTTGTCCAGAAGAAGAAGAACTACTGGATCCACAACCGGAACTTGAACTTTTTTTTTTTTTTTTTTTTTTTTTTTCTTCATTGGTTTTTATGTATTTGTACAATGTATGTTCTGATAACATCTATTGCACGCCTGACCGTCCAGGGAGTGGATCCGTCACCTGTGGTTCTCCCTAAGGTTTCTACCTTTCTCTTTTCTCCCTGTTGAAAGGGTTTCTCTTTCGGTAGTTTTTCCTTACCCTGGCTGACGGTCTAAGGACAGAGGATGTTACCAACCCTGTGAAGCCCCATGTGACAAACTGTATTTTGTAAATGTGGGCTATATAAATAAAATTTGATTTGATTTGATTTGAGAAGGCCTGCTCTGCCCTCCTGGATACTGCCGACTACCTCACAGTGTTTCAGCCTGCTGATCGCCCTGTCCACCTCTTCCTGGGCTTTCCACTTTCTCCCTGTTCATACTTGGGAGGCAGCTGCTCTCACCAGTTGATCAGTGGAATCCCTCAGCTCCAGCACCATCTGGGCCTTCTCTTGATTGTAGTCCAGACCTATAGATCGCAGTGGCAGCAGCAGTGCATTTCAGCCAAAGAGGCCTACATTTGATAGGAATCTCGCAGTCCCAGCCACTTCCTGATGAACGAGTTTGCCGCCTATCCATCCTGTCCACCACAGACGAGGAGACTTCGCACATCTTCAGAGGCCACATCCCGCTTGATCCTGGCCAGGCCATCTGCCAGCTGCTTCCTCACTGTTTCCCCCATGTTCTTGTCGGAGAGTTCTGCAGTATAGGTACAACCAAGGCTGCGGATGGGTTGGTTTGCCAGCAGTGGGATCTCTTTACCACCTACGACAGTTGTGGTACTATCGCTTCTAACTACTTTCCTCAGGGAGAGGCTGCGCATTTGGCAGGTTTGATCTTCATCCTTGCCCACCCCACAAGCTCGTCAATCCTCTTCAGCAGTCTCGTTGTACATGCTGCTATCTGGAGGATGGTGGTGATGTCGTCCATTTAGCCTATCACTGGGGGTAGCCTCTGCCCTGATGGCAGCTTTACTCCTCCAATCATCATCACTGCTCCTATTAGGACGATCTTGAAAGCTGCAACAAAAAGAATGGGAGAGATCGAGCATCCCATGGCTATGCCTACCTCCAGCTGCTGCCATCCTGTAGTGTAGTCCTGGTGGGTGCAGCACATCTTGAGGTCTTCAAAGTACTTGGCTACTAAGGTTCTGACAGGGCCAGGGATATAGAAGAAGTCCAGGGCATAGTCGATGAGTTGATGGGAGACGGATCTGTATGTGTTGGCAAAGTCCAGCCATACCACATGCAGGTCACTTTTTTCGCCTTTTGCTCAGAGTTTCCCAGGATTCCCAGAATTCCACACACCCTGGGAATCCTGGTACACCTGCTTTCTGGCAGGTGGTGTCAATATACCTGTTGCTAGTCAGGTAGTTGATCAGCCTTTTGGCAAAAAGTTTTTCCACGCCTGATATAGACTGACTTTAGGTGTGAATGTGAGCCTGAATAGTTTTTGTATCTTTACATGTGGCCCTGTGCTGGACCAGAGAACTTTACGTGGTGAATCCCTCCCTCGCACAATGACTACTGCAACTCAGAGGGAGCGCCATCAGGTGTCCAGCAGTGGGAACAGGGTGACAAAAGCCAAAGAAGTGATTCTAAAAATAGTTAATGGTAAGAGATCCTGAACAGTGTTCGACACTAAGAAAATGTTTTCATTTGATTGCTTTATGCCAAAGATACACATTAAAAACAAGTAATGCAGTGAAGAGAAGCTTTATACCACCATATTCAAAACCAATGGAATACTTCTCTGTATTTACAAAAAAACATAATCAAGAATTTCAAAAAAGGAAAAAATGAACATGTCACTAATGGGATCTAACATACTGCCACTGAACAGAAAGACATGCTTACATTTACAAATGCATGTTCCAATATTCCAAATTATGGCTTCAATCAAAGCAAAAAACTAAATAATAATAATAAAAAAATCTGTTAGCTTGTGTTGTTGTGTCATTAGTCCATGGGTCTGTGTAGGAATGATTCTCTCCAGATTTTTCTTTAAATAATATTTATATTATCAAATACACATACATAGAAGACAGATGAGCTACATCTGTGAGCTGTACACGCTTGCAGTAAGGGAGGAGGAAGGAGAAGGGGAGCGTTTTAGAGTTACACTGACCTTTACTTATACATCATAATTATAGTAATGTTATATTTTGGGCAGTGAAAAAAGTTTGAGTTAAAAACAAGCTTGTTTGAGCTCGAGGTACCAACCATCCTTTCATACACACTGATCACAGTTTATCCGGATGACGACGACAAAGGTTTGACTGAAAAAAGCTTGCATTCCCGTGAACATAATTCAATTGAATACAAATCTCTCTGTCTTTTTTACACTTCTTGTTATGTCCTGGAAACCTTCATAAATGACCTTAGATACAAGGCAGAAAAATTACTCTACAAGGTGCCAGGTCTCTTGTTACATCACACTTTCACATGAAAACTAAAATTTAAATTAAAATAACATTTGAGGTCTACATCATGAGAGGAGCCTTGTTTTATAATACAGCCTTTACCATAACATTTAGACATACACTAGGTAAAAAATTCTACACACTCTCAGTGTGTTAATGCCAGTTCTTGGTGATGAAAATAAATATCATCCAAATATTTAACTGTAGACTTTTTCCAGCCTTAAGTGAGACTTGTTGATATTAGGGACAGCGAGAGATAATGTTGTTCTGCAAAATAACTTTCCCTAAGCATAAAAAAATAATTTGATATTAGTTATGATTGTATGGTATCTCTGCTACAAAAAAAACAAAACAAAGGTCACTATAGTATACACCAAATGTGTATCACTAGGTGTACTATTTTTTTGATGAGTCAACAATAATTTCTGTCAAGATATGGCTGTTTGGAATCTCTGGTACGATAATCTTACTACGTTGACCTGCTCTGATGCATTACTGACAGCTACATGTTGAGTAGATAATTGACAGTTACATAATTGAGTATGTAACTGGAGCTTTAGTCTAGGTGCTATGAGGGTCACCATTATTGTGTACTTTACAAATAGTTTTTTTATTTAAAAACAGATTATTGGACTATTAAGGAATTCAAATATCTTTGTTATTGGTTAACATTCAAATACAGGGGTGAGTAGAGTGTCTACCACGTGGTGCAATTATATATTTATTCTCCAGGGGGGCTAGGCAACTTTGAGCAGTTTTCCTAAGAGAACACTAGTCAGGTCAATGATTGAATGCAGTGTTTAAAAGTCAGAACATATTAAACCAGCTACTCTGTTCGGGTTTCCAAAACTTCCTGTTATCTTTCTTTCAAATTAAAAGCACATTGACGGAAGTGATTATGTATTGCAGCTTTACACAAACGGGCGCAGAAAGGCAGGATTTAACATATTTAGTATTTGAAATCAAAAGTTGGTCCATGGACAATAACTACGGGACTGCTGTTTCAGTTGTGCTGTTTTCTGTTTCATGTATCAATCAAAAGCTAGTGTAGTATTTACTTTTTTATTGTACACAGCTCAATTGTGATTTCAAAGCCTGTTCTCACTTAATGTTGAAATGTTTGGAATATTAATGACAGTGAAGTAATCTGATTTCAAAGTGCAAGTATGCACAACCTCCTGGTATTATAGATTATCTAGCATTAGGATTCCTCAAATGTCCTTATGTTCATTTTTCTGAACAATAACAGCCCTAGATTTAGTCACATTTAAGTGGTCCCTGATATATAAATCCAAAAACAAAGAACACAAACCATGTATGTAATGACCACAAATACCCAAGTAACACAATGCAAATAAGACCGTACTCCACCAAATCCAAAGTAGATTTGTAGAATTTATATGCATATATTTTTAAATAATTTCAATGATAGTTGTTCTTTAGCTACAGAGCCCTAGTTTCAAAGACAGCTTATTAACTCTCAATAACTAAATTCTCAAACTAAAAATCTTTGTGATATTTAATATGAACAAAATCGTAATTTCCTCATCAAAAGCCATAAATATATCAGAGACAAGGCACCTTTAATCTAACATTCTTTTCATATTTCTGGCTGATTTAATTATTAAAAATAACAGTAGAATCTAAAAGACTCTTCTTCTTCTTCTTTAACAGTGAAGACAAAAAAAAAATGAAACAGTTGATCAGATGTGTTTTTCTTTTTCAATAAAAAAAAGAAGTATGACTGTATGAAAACCAGGCGTTGGTAGGACACTAGTCTTTTGTTTCTGGGAATGATGATCATACACACTTGTTTGTCTGTGACTGGAATGCCACTGGGTATTTTCAAATATACAAACAGTTCTCCAGATTTAAAAAAAAAAATTGATTATTTTGTACAGTCTCATGGTTGCAGAGTCAGAACTGGTGGTAGCAGAGCCACCACTCAGACCAGGAGGAGAGGGGCAGGTGGAACGGAGACATAAAGAAGAAGGTGAGGGGTTTGTGGGGGGTGGGGTAGTTGAAGAACCAGGTGTGTGTGAAATGTCTGTACAGGGCAAGAGCTGAGGGAAGAAGTCCCTGGTCTGTAGGATGTCATCATTCTGCCTCTGCTGATTTTCACTGATCAATGCCAGTTTGTGACTGAGTCCAGATTGTCCTCAAACCTTCACACACTCATTGTCATGTTTGGAGAATACTGAAAAAACACCAAACACACAGCAGAAATAACTGTCAGTACATGAAAAAAACAGAGAAATTTTAATCATGTGGGATCATTTTTCACTTATAAATAGTGCCACCTACAGGTGAATGCCAACTTACACTCTCATTCTGAAAGGGGTTGAGGAAGTTTCCTCCCATCTCTCCATCCTCTCTAGGAGTTCCCGGCTGGTTACTTATACTCAAGTTTCCAGGAGAGTTCTTTAAAGGTGATAAACAGTTATGGTCATGAACCAATGCTACAATGAGTCCTGTTTCTGCAAAGTTTACACAGTATACACTGACCTTTGGGAGACTGTCCATGTCACCTGACCCTGGGGTTGAAAAGATAAAAAAATGGACGATATAGAGAAACATAGGTAAACACTGGTGATACTGTTTTGGTGCAGTTCCCTTACCTAATGATCCGTTCATGTGGTGTGGCTCCATTCCAGCCATGCCCCCTAGTGGTCCATCTCCACCTGCACCCATTGGGAACTAATAAAACAAAATAAAAACAACAGACAATTACAAATCTGACATATTAACTGAGATGAGGGGACGTTTTTACTGCTCCACACGCAGTGGGAGCCATTATGGAACCGCCATAACACGTTTGAACAGCTGATAAGGACATGTGACACTGATATCAAGTAACATGTCTGGGGAAGATGGGAGCTCACAGTTGTAATACATCAAGGTAGGAACTACACCTGGACCATCTGATTATAAGAAAGTATCAATTATCTGTATCAACACAACATGAACCAAGTCAAGTCATATACAGTGGGGGTCATGACGGTAAAATAATCTCTCACATTTGGTCGATTTCCTCCTGGAGGAACTGTGTTTATCAGAGTGTACATGTTGTCGCCAGAGTTGGTAGAATCTGGAAAAACGAAGATCAGGGTGAGAATCTTTCTATACTAATTCCATACCACACACATAGATACAACACCAGCAGAGCTCTAACCTGCTGGACTGGGCATGATTGGCGTTCCAGGTGGGCCCCCACCTCCTGGCGGTCCCTGGAATTACAGTTTAGGTTTCAACTCATTTGATTTTATTCCTTAAAATACACAATATATAAAGTCTCACTGTACATACCACATAACTCCCTGGAGAGGCAGACGAGTAGGGTGTCTACAAAACACATTTAGAAAACAGTCAGAAATTGAACCACAGTGTACATTTCTGTTCCCTCACTCGCCTAGAGCTCTCACCGAATTTGAGTTTGGAGGATTTGGCCAAGGTCTACCACCAGCAGGTCCCCTAAAGACATAAATACACACAAGTGAGTTTTCTGTGTTTTGGCAAACTTTGTGGTTTCTACTTCATTAGGGCAGTGTTGGCAACAACAAGGTGCTCCCCTGCCAGGAGAAGGTGATCAGAATAACAGACACAGCAACAAAACAGACTAGTTCTAAAAAAGTAGACAAACATAGTAAAGTATCCCTGCCCAGATATGTTATGGTCAACAATGAAGTGAAGTACATTTCTTCAAATTAGTAACGGTGTTTCCCCTTGTAAAAACAGCCACTAGGGTATACTAGGGTACACAAGCCAGTGCTACTATAGTGATACTATAGTGCCGGTCCCAAGCCCGGATAAAACATCTATTCCCAAAAGAAAGAGGAACACAGGGTGACGTACTATGGAGAAGAAATGGTGGCAGGCAAGAGTGTAGTCAAACAACATTGCATGGTAGTGTGCAAAATGACGATGGAGGTGAAAAAAAGGAAGAGAGTGAAGACAGAGTAGAAGATCAAGTGGTGGAAACTAAGGAAAAAGAAATGTGGTGAAGACTTCAGGAAGGAAGGAAGGGCAGTTCTGGGCCGTGTTGAGAAATTCTCAGATGATTGGGAGATTACAGCTACAGTGGTTAGGGAGACAGGTAAGAAGGTGCTAGGTATGTCCTCTGGGCAGAGAGAAGAAGAGAAAGAGACCTGGTGGTGGAATGACAAGGTCCAGGAGAGTGTGCAGAGAAAGAGATTAGCGAAGAAGAGATTGGATAGTGACAGGACAGAAGAGAACAGACTGGAGTACAAAGAGAAGACAAGGGAGGTGAAGAGGGAAGTGGCCAAGGCCAAACAAAAGACATACGAGTTGTATGAGAGTTTGGACACAAAGGAAGGAGAAAAGGAGTTGTATAGATTGGTGAGACAGAGAAATCGAGCTGGGAAGGATGTACAGCAGGTGAGGTTGATTAAGGACAGAGAGGGGAATGTAATCACAAGTGAGGAAAGTGTGCTGAGAAGATGGAAGGTAAAGTAGAAATGAGGAACCAGAGACAATTAGGAAGAAGGTAGATCAGGTTAGAAAGGATGAAGTTAGAAAACCCTGAAGAGGATGAAGATGATGAAAGTCAGTTGGTTCTGATGACATACCAGTGGAAGTATGGAAGTGTTTAGGAGAAGTGGCAGTAGTTCAGTTCTTGACTAGGTTGTTTAACAGAATTTTAGAGCCGGACAAGATGCCTGATGAGTGAAGGAAAAGTGTTCTGGTGCCAATTTATAAGAAGGGTGATGCACAGAGTTGTAACAACTACAGAGGGATA